GCCACTACAATTACCTTGGTTATTTCCACCACTCTAATTTCCTTGATTGTTGTTGTTATGCCAATTCTCTTGATTGTTACTACAACTCCAATTACCTTGATTGCTTGAATTTCAATTAACTTGATTGTTTTGAGGTAGCCATTATTGTTGATTCGGGCCTTGGAAGTTGTTTCTTTGCCCTTGAAAGTTGTTCATATATTTCACCTCCTCTTCTCGTTCATTGTAAGATTCATCTTGATCAAACCCACTATCTTCTTGCACATAATTTTCCACTCAGTTTTGCACTTGTGGATCCTTAGTCCTTCTTTTGTTCACCATTATGCTTACTCCCTCTATGGCATTGACTTTCTTAGGACTTTGCACTTGTTAAAGTTGAGCCTTTGCTAATTGATTCATTGTGGTGGTCAATTCGGAAATGGCTTGCCCATGGTCATGCAACTCTTTATGGAGGTGAATCACGTTCGGATAACCTTGAGGAACATTAGACCTAGATTGCTATGCCGATGAGGTGTCCGCCATTTCATCTAAAATCTCACAAGCTTCCGCATACGGTGTTGTCATGAAATTTCCATCGGCAAGTTGATTACCATGCCTTGATTGGTCGTATTGATCCCCCGATAGAAAGTTTGTTGAATCATATTCTCCGTCATGTTGTTATTGGGGAACTCTTTGAATATTGTTCTATACCGCTCCCATATCTCATGTAACGACTCATTGGGATCTTGTTTGAATGCTAGAATCTCATCTCTAAGAGTAGCCATATGCCCGGGAGAAAAGACTTGGCAATAAATTTCTCCACCAATTCATCCCAAGTACGGATGGAATGATTTGGCAATCTTTACAACCAATCTAAGGCTTTCTCCCATAGAGAGAAGAGAAAAAGCCTTAACCTTAAAACATCCTCGGAGACGTTTGTTTGTTTACTCCCCCAACAAGTGTCCACAAACCCCTTCAAATGTGAAGAAACCTCGTTGCTCTAGCAATGTGAGCATCACATTGGTAATTTAAAAGTTGTCCACCCTAATACGAGACAGGACTATAGCACTTGCATACCCTTCATTCGGCAACACCCGGTGTGGAGCCGCTCTTGGTGGAGGTGGAGGTGGAACTTGACGTTGTCTTGAGGCGCTCGACCTCTTCTATTTGCTTGAGGTTCAAGAGGAACCTCTTCAACTTGGTCATCCTCAACGTCCACATCCCCCAAAGACATGTTTCCGAATTGATCATTGTTGTACCTATAAGTGATTTACAAAAATTAGTAACACGGAAGAAAAAAAACAGTACACATACAAACCAAATATATAGCTAAAACCATTTTTAGCTCCCCGGTAACGGCGCCAAAAATTGATTTCGTCCAATTCACACCTCAAATCAAGGATTTGAAATGGTCGATTGTAATAATAGTACCCAACAAGAGTCATGGTCGATTTCCATAGGGAGCTATATATGGGAGTTAAGAGTATATATTATAGTATGTGAGTTTGAACTATCTCAATTTACACTTTCACAAATTGGGGTTGTTTCTATGTCTATTTTAAACTAAGATTGCAAAGTTAAGAAATGAAACTGAGAAATTATTTTTGTTATTTTTCGAGTTTTGTAAAAAGCCTAGGGTTATGACCATCAACTAGGTGTTTGCCTAATGGGATATAAACCTTAATGCTTGTTTTGTTGATCGGGTGCATTATAGCTATCAACGCTATATTACCCACTCAATACCTCTCGATCAGAGAGTGATTTTGCCCAATTTGGCTTTCTCAAGTCCAAATGGGTATAGCTCAAAACGGTTGATAAAGGCTCAAGTCGGGTTATTGAACCCTTTAATTGGGATTATCAATCTCTCGATTGATCCAATTTCTTGTTAGCCAAGTGTTCCTAGACTAAGCCTCTCTTTCTCAAGTAGAGACTAAGTGAAATAAACTAATATTTGTAACCATTAATTCCACAAATTAAAGCATGAACAAGGCTAAATAATAAATACTCAACCATAAACAAGCATTAAAATAAACACCCATAATGTTTATACACTAGGGTTGGGTCATAACCCTAGTAAAAATCTAGCTACTCATGCTTGAAATTGAAGAAATAGAAGAAGAGATGCTAATTAAACTCATATTGTAAAATCAAAATGATAAAATCTGTGTTAAAATATCCCAAAATATGAAAGATTACTAAAAGAAGCAAAGAGAAACGACTAATTTAGTTGTTGATGTCAAAAGTAGACCTAATTTTGTGAAACTTGTCTTTTTATACAGGTCTAAAAATTTCGAACAAAATACATTTCGGAAGGTTCTACGGCCGCACAATTCCATGTGCGGTCCGCAGAAGTGTTCATCTTGCAGGAGCTGGGATTCTACAGTCGCGAGGCAATTTTTTTGTGGTCCGCAGATTTATCACTGAGACCGCAATCTGTTGATCTACGGTCCGCATCTTTCTTTCTGCAGTCGCAAGACACTTTTTCTGCGGCCGCACAATTCTTTTGCAGTCTGCAATCTTGAGGGACTTGGACTTTGAAAAATTGCACACCCTCTGAAGTTGATATTCAATTCTTCAATTGCGGCCGCACAATTTCTTTGCGGACCACATTTTGATAGGAAGCATGTTGGGTGTTTCTTCATTGTTTGGGGCTGCATATGGAATTCTACGGTCCGCACTTTGCAAATTATTATGCCTTTTGTTGCCTTGTATTTTGATTACGCCTTATTGAGTCGGGTTTCATCTCGGGAGTCCAGCTTCCAGCAATCCTGTAATTTTGCACATTTTATCAATTTCGGGAATATAATTAAACGCTTTTAGACTAAAACAAAAGCTAAAAGGCGCTAATAAGTAGTCAAAATCCCCACTTATCACTTCCCGACCACTTTGTAGCTTCAAAATTGCTCGTTTGATTTGCAATGGAAAATGAAAAAAAGGAAAAATACAAGATTGCAGCAAATTACAAGATTTGCATGGACCAATGCACTTTGCAAGAAATTGAAAAGCTGGCTGAGCATCCAACTCCAAGCTGGAGAGGTGAAGAGGGTAATGGAAAGAATCAAAAGTAAGCATTGGAAGCAAGCTACTAAGGAAAAAATAGCGGCTATTTGGGGTGCTATCATCTATCATACGTGGAGGGCAAAGAACTGGGCTATTTTTAAGAAACAAAGTGTGAACATTGAGTTAGTTGTAGTACATATTCAGAAATAACTTGTACATAAACTAGAGCTTTTAATTCAGACTAGGAAAAACTATAGGAACAATAAATTGATACAAAAAATCATTTGTAACTAGATGCCATTTTTGAGGCCTAACATTTCACATTAATCTTCCTAGAAGGTGGATGTGTGGTTAGATGCTCATTAAGTGTATTGTGAACTCATGTTTGTTGGTTTGGTAATATTCATAATTGTTACAAAAAATGATGTTATGGACGTGACAACAACACTAATGTTTATGACGTTAGTTACTTTGAGTTTATGACACTATTATCTTTTTGGATTTTTTTAATTTAAAATAAGACTCATAATAGACCTTATTTTGTTTCCTATGATTAATTTAAGTAAGCAGGTATAAACACCTGATGCGGATAAAATTTTATCAGAAAAAGAGCAGTTGAGTTGATCAAGGGCAACTTTTATGAGCAATTTCCGAGTTTTCGACTAAAATTGTCCCTTGCCTATAGGAACATGTCTATTTTTCTCCTACAAATATAACTTGGAGCATCTTTAATCCCTTAACATTGCTAAAATGGAGCATATTTGGTCTCACTAACAGATCCGCATTAAAAACTAACGGTGCTATCACTCTGATTCTCACGTGGTGATTCCCTTCTAGGTTTTGCCTTCTTCATTTTCTTCCTGTCTTATTCACTTTCTTAGGATATGGTTAAACTAATTTGACCTTTATATCAATAGTCACGTAAACCATTCAGGTGTATGACTGGTTTTATTATAAATAACAGTGAATTCAGGTGCATAACTTGTTAGAATCCATAGTCAAGAAAACCATTAGTTGATATAGCAAAAGCAAAACCAAAATAAAGAGTCACTAAAATTATCTCCTTTATAAAAAAATATGTTAAAACTTCGAAGAAACCATGAAAAGCCTAAAAGAAGAAGAGCCAGATCTAAGAAAAGCAATAGTGAAGACCAAAATCCAACATCTGTAATCCTATTTAAAAACCCAATTGCGTTAACAAAAGTAATTTTAAAAAATACTCCTCGTTATTTTATGACTAGAAAAATAGAGCTGTTAGATAACTATTCTTGCAACTCTATTACACCAGCCTTCACCAGCAAAATGAACCCTTTACAAAAGCAAAGTTGTTCTTTTATAGCAGCAAAAAAAATCCTTTCACACCAGCAAAAAACACCAAACTTCAGCAACAACTTATATACTAAAACCCAAATAGTTTCTCTGCTAAATCCAACCATAATTGGGTATTTCACTACCATGAGATCTAATAATCATTGCTAGAGATGAAGAAATAAGCTTCTTCACTTGAGTTGTTCCCGTCAATCAAGCTTTTTCCAGCGAGGCTTAGGCTTTTGGTAAAGGGTTTATTTAGGGAAAATCATGAATGAATTTGGGGGGATTAGGAATGGAGTTAGTCTTTCCGTGGGTTCAGTGTTTTACAGTCACATGAGAGTCACAGGGATAGCACCGTTAGTTTTCAACATGAGTCTGTTAGTAAAACCAAAAATGCTCTATTTTAGCAAAGTTAAGGGACTACAATGCTCTGAGTTATATTTGGAGGAAAAAATAGACCTACATAAGGGATAATTTTAGTCAAAAGTTAGTAATTATTGTCAAATGATTTTGGTGGAGCAAAATCCAAGGGACTGTTTTTAAAATTTTAAACAAAGCCTTTAAGAATAAAGAACAAGATAATAATACAGTAATATTTTTTGTATTAAAATTCTATAGGAAATATTGCAAGGTAAATTTTACTCAAAAAAAATTGTCAAGGGAGTCAGCGTCATCCCAACAAGGACCATGGTCCCATTATTTTCCAAACAGAAACTTCCTAAACCATAAAATCACTTAAAACGATGAAGAAATAATCTTCTTCAGAAAAACTTCGCCACTTATCTTCAGTCCAGTGTTCCACTAAACCTCCTCAAAACCCACCAAAACGACAGCGTTCAAATGCTTCGTTCTCTCACTTCCAAGCGCTCTCTCCAATCCCTTCTCCACTACCACCACCACCCTCTCCTCCGTCCAAATCCGCACCCTACCCCTTTCAATCCCCGCCCCTTCTCTTCTACACCGGGTCCCACCACATCCGAATCCGAACTCCGTAAATACATCGGCTACACACTTCTCCTCTTAGGGTGTGGTGCTGCCACATACTATTCCTTCCCTTTCCCCGAAAACGCCAAACACAAAAAAGCTCAGTTATTCCGCTACGCTCCGTTACCCGATGACCTTCACACGGTGTCCAATTGGAGCGGGACCCACGAGGTGCAGACCCGAACTTTCTTGCAACCCGAGGCGATTGAAGAGCTCGAAGGGATAGTGAAGACTGCGAATGAGAAGAAGCAAAGGATCCGGCCTGTCGGGTCGGGTTTGTCGCCCAATGGTATCGGGTTGACCCGAGCTGGGATGGTGAATTTGGCGTTAATGGATATGGTTTTGTATGTGGATGAGGAGAAGAAAACGGTTACTGTTCAAGCTGGGATAAGGGTTCAGCAGCTTGTGGATGCTATTAAGGAGTATGGGATTACTCTTCAGAACTTTGCATCCATAAGAGAACAGCAAATCGGTGGCATTGTCCAGGTGGATGCTTTATTCTGCCTTTTAGTTTATGTGCCGACATTTCATTTTCGGTCCGTTCCAAAAAAATGACAAATTTGTAAATTTGAATACAATTTAAATTTTGTCAATTTCTTGTGGATTGGTTCATTTTTGGGACTAAAGAGTAGTGATAGATAACTTAGAGGGTTAACTAAAATACATAGTGTGTCCATTCCAAATGTTCTCCCATATATGTGATATTAATTAGAGGTGGATTGACAGAGTAACCTATGGATTCACGGAATAAGTTGTCCCCGTGTATAGATTAGAACTTAGCTGCTTGCTAACTGTTTTGTGGTGGCCTGAAATTTTCCTCTGGAAATTTGTGAAATGATAAACTCTGTGGGAAGTTTATGGATGTGCTCGGTTTATCTGATATAGTACCTTCTTGATGTATATCCTATGTAAATAAAAATCTTAGTTTTGCTTATCAATCAAAGGGAAAAATGTTCAAGCTGGTTCTGTATTCCGTGTTGTGTTTCATGGGAGAGCATCTGTTTTGATATACTGGGGACTGATTGGGGAGATTCTTAAGCTTTTGTTCCTTTGAATTCAAATTGTTAGGTTGGTGCCCATGGCACTGGTGCCAAGTTGCCTCCAATTGATGAGCAAGTCATAAGCATGAAATTGGTTACTCCTGCCAAAGGCACAATAGAAATTTCGAAAGAGAAAGATCCAGAACTCTTTTATCTAGCTCGATGTGGACTTGGGGGCCTTGGTGTGGTTGCGGAAGTCACTCTTCAGTGTGTTGAGAGGCAGGAGCTTGTAGAACATACTTTCCTGTCTAACATGAAAGATATCAAGAAAAATCACAAGTAAATATTCTCTTTTTTCTTGAGTGATTTGTTTCCCTTTTTGATAAGCTCTCATAGCTGTTAAAGTAGAACTTCTTAGTGGATTTTCTTTATAAAGAACTTGTTACTTGTTAATATTGACATAACCAAGCTAGCGATTTGCAAGCATCCTAAACCCTAGCTCAAGGGATCTTATTGAAAAAAAAGTGAGTAGTTTTTACAAGCAAGGATCATTGAAAATCCTTTGATTTTCTTGCTGCTCAATCCACTAATTAAAATTAGAGCTATAAGCCCTAATTCTTTTCCTTTCCTATTGCGAGAAAATGGTCTTCTATGGCCACCTACAATTTGATAGGAGAAAATGACATTTTCAGATCTCATGTGTTATTTTCAGTTCTCTTATGTGTAAAAATGAAGATCTCTTGTAAAAAAGACATAAAACTAAAAACATATTTATAAAGGACTACAAAACCAATTGACCCTCCCGTTGCTGCCCTGCTTCAATCTATCTTTCCTTTGGGGGTTAATTGATATTTGCTCCAGTTTATCCATCAGCTGCATCATACTGGTCAGCTTCCAATCTTGGCAGTTCCTTCTGTGCATGATGTTCCATGTGTCCTGTTCATCATTGAACTATACTTGCATGAGGGTGCATCACAAAAGGCAAAAGTTTGGGAATTCCTTCTTTAGTGTGCTGTTCCCAATCATTTATCATGCCACAATCTGACGTGTTATAAATCCTAATTAAGCTTTGAATTTAAAATTAAGCCTTGATTTAGTGTCGTTGCTACTCTATCTCATTAGTATTTTCTGTATTTGTGAACCAGAACGTGTGAGAGAGGAGGGAAGATGATAGAGATTACCAAAGAGATTAAATAGAATGGTGGAGAAGAGAAGAGATGAAGCAGAGATGAATCATCACCAATATGTAGTGGTAGGTAACTGCTGAAAGGAATGATGAGACTATAGAGTGAGAGTCGTAGTCCCTTATAGGTGAGCATTTATTTATCACATATTATACCGGCTGGAGTAACATGGTCATTGAGGACTCATATAGCCGACAACAATTTGTTTGGGATTGAGGCATAGTAGTAGTAGTAGTTGTTGTTGTTGGTTGCTGTATGTTGTACCTGTTTGGTGCGTCTTCTAGTAGACAAAATCCAGTACAAAACACCTAGTTTACATTTCTTGTAAAACAACCCGCTAGTTATTGTGAATAACCAATGTCCCAGTTCAAACTATAGTATTGCAAAAATCTGGGGATGTCAGTTAAATTATGACTAGCGTTTCCTGGACTTGGACTGCACTGTAGCTTACCAGCGGTTGCTCCAAGGGAAACCTTTCTTGCCTTCTTGGTTTTATCAACTTTAATTGAACTCTTTAGCCTACCCTGGAGTGTAGTTGAAGTTTTTTGCAGCTTCTAAGTGTTAACGCTGATGATTTGTTGCACCTATGTAAATTTTGTTACTAAAGCAGTTTTTTGTTAATGATGGTGCTTGTTTCACATATGTAGCATGGTAAAGCACATTTATTGCACTTGATGTCCTACGCTTGTGAAATAATGCCGCTAACATGTCATTACTTCAGGAAATTCCTATCCGAGAACAAGCATGTCAAATACTTGCACATTCCATATACTGATGCAGTTGTGGTTGTGACATGCAATCCTATATCTAAATCGCGAGGTCCACCAAAGCATAAACCTAAATATACTACAGAAGAAGCCTTGCAGCATGTACGAGTTCTCTATCGGGAGTCATTGAAGAAGTACAGGTATGGTGGCATTGAACTGGCCTGTAAAACCATATTTCAGAACATTCTTTTCCTTGCATTTCTGCATGACGTTCTGTTGTTGGACGAACTTCCCCATGTAGTTTTAGCTGTTCTTGTATACTGCGGGGCCCATTTTGCACAGGACATTTTTCTGAAAGGGAATGGATGAAATAATAAACTCTTTCTGACCTAGTTTATGTGACGTAATTTTAAAAATTAAGACACTTGCAGTAATAATATTATCTGAACAATATTCATAAATTGCAAGAATTCATTTAGCTATTCGTTTTAGCTGTAACGTTTTGCTTATTGAACTAACATTTCAACCACTGCTTTAAAATTGTGTTATATTACATGTAATCATCATTGATTGACGAATACAAGTAATAGTGGAGAACGATACGAAAGCATTAGTTGAAAAATTTGTTTGATAAGCAAAACATTACAAGTAATCCAGTATTACTTGTTAATGCTGAAGAGCCTATGTTTCTATTTTTAAAATAATGTTTAATTACTTGCTAAATAAGTTTTACCACTTGTTGCAGAGGGCAAGTTGCTGATTCTGGTTCTCCTGAACCTGAGATAGATGAACTATCATTCACTGAACTGAGAGATAAATTACTTGCTTTGGATCCTCTCAACAAGGAGCATGTAATTGAAATCAACAAAGCTGAGGTGGAATTCTGGAGGAAATCAGAAGGATATCGAGTAGGCTGGAGTGATGAAATTTTAGGCTTTGACTGTGGTGGCCACCAATGGGTGTCAGAGACATGTTTCCCTGCAGGAACCCTGTCAAAGCCTAGCATGAAAGACCTGGAGTACATTGAGGAATTGATGCAGCTCATTGAGAAAGAAAGTGTGCCTGCTCCTGCACCTATAGAACAGAGATGGACTGCTTGCAGCAAAAGCCGAATGAGTCCAGCTTATAGCTCAGCGGATGATGATATATTCTCATGGGTAATATTTTAGCATGTGAATCTTTGCTTTGCTTATATGAAAAGCTCCTTTAGGCTGGAGCCTAATTATGCTCCCTAAATGTTGCACAAATCCAAGAAACTACTAAATCAGAAATTAAATATAAAACCATGAGGGGTCTTTTGTTTAAATCTGTTTTAGATAAAGTAAAAACTACGATTGACCTTTTGTTTAGCAGTTGAATGAATTCTCACTAGCAGTTGAGTGAATACTCTGTCATTGTGGTTGAGGTCTTCTTTTTTGAGGTTCACGACCGGATACTCAGCACAAAATGCATGCAAATCCAAGCTGTGAACTGATTTAAGTCCCTGATCCAACTGCATCTTCTTCAGGAAAAGAAAAAAGATTTTAAGCCCATGGATGGTGATACTTAGTTGAGATGTGCCCACTAATGCTGACAATATAAGTAGAAATAGATCTTGAATGAGGACAGAAGTCCTTGATCCAACTGCATCTTCTTCAGGAAAAGAAAAAAGATTTTAAGCCCATGGATGGTGATACTTAGATGTGATGTGCCCACTAATCTGGCAATATAAGTAGAAATAGATCTTGAATGAGGACAGATGGGTTTTATAATGTTTATCTGAATGCAAATGCTGTGCCTTCGTTTTAATTTACTTTCTTTCTATGAAAATTTGGATAAATACTAGATAACCTTCTATTCAGACAGTGAAGTCTCTCTCTGCTTCCACCCAAATCTTTGATTATCTTTTTACACCTGATATTGTTGATGCATATGGAACAATATATGGATTTTCTAGAGGAGCTAGGTGGAATGTAGTTGATTTGTTGTATTAGTTTGGATGTCTGTAATTTTGTGCAATCTTTGGTACCTTTTAATAAAATCTTACCTTATCAAAAAAAAAACCCTTATATCCCTATCAATATGTTGCTAGGTTGGAATAATTATGTATCTTCCAACCATGGATGCTCGGCAGAGGAGGCAAATCACTGAGGAGTTCTTCCACTACAGGCATATGACGCAAGCACAGTTGTGGGATCATTATTCTGCTTTTGAGCATTGGGCGAAGATTGAGGTATGAGTTATTTTTCAGAACTCTGTTTAAGCCAAGTCATATAGGAGCATATAAGTACTGTTAACCTACCAGTTCCTCTTTGGTTTTGTTATTTTTGAAGTATCTAAAAGATGAAGTCAGTAATGATTCTTTAATATTGCTGAGGAGAAACTGTGCAAGATAAAAGAGATTAGATCTCCTCTACTTCTTCCACTATTTTGCTGCTTTAGCTCCTCTTGTTATTGTGATTTTGCAATTCTGAAGAACTCTGAAATTGACGGGAAGATAGAGCTATCTTCTTGTACCTTTCCATGCTCTTGGCCTTTACTTTCTTTAATGATGTTCAATCTTAGAGGTGGTTCAATTCGTCAAACTGCCTGTTAGAAGATTGATCGACAAACATGCTTAAAATATCTAGTTGTAGTTCCTATTATCAAGCATAAGCTCGTCCTAGGGGATCCTTACAGTTCGTTTTCATTCTAAATTGCCTAAGAAGTTACCTGAGAAGATTCTCAGTTGAAGTGCTAGAAAGAGCCTATTCAAGATTTACTTCCTTGATTTGACACAATCATGTGACCGATATCTTCATCAAAATAAAAAATAAAAAACCATGTGACCGATATGCTGCAAAGCATTATTAGCTCTGGTTCTGCTAACAATGTAGAAAGTGGGACAAATATGGAAGACATCAAATTGGAGTTCCACCTGTTCGTTTAAATTATTGTCTCAAAGCATTAACTATTCTCTAAATTCTTATTTCAAAGTAGATTGCATCTTCTGACATAAGGCATGAAACTATAGGTTATATAACTTCGTTCATAGACACTTGCTTTTAGAATTTAAAAATAAATTGAGACAACCATATCTGTAAATAAAGTTGACAGTTAGGTACTCTAAATGGAGTGGATCGCGGTTACCATTTAACTACCTGTTTACTTCCAGGTTCCTAAGGACAAGGAAGAGCTCGCCGCTCTGCAGGAAAGGCTAAAGAAGAAATTTCCGGTGGATGCATACAATCAAGCACGAAAGGAGCTGGACCCAAACCGCATCCTTTCTAATAACATGCTTGAGAAGCTCTTCATCTGAGGCTGTGTAACTGGTTTCTTGGTTGGTTTACATCTTTCTTGTCAAATCATTTTATTGATAGTGATATTCATCATCATGTTTCTTTCAAAGCAAATATTTTGCGGAGGAAAATTTTGTCCTGTACATTGTTGTTCAGAATGTTAGTTAAAGGAATTGTTATAATAATGCTTGTCATGCATTGTATATGCTTGAGCCAGTCTCCAACTTGATTACCGACTTCAAGGACAATTTATGGATAAATCTGGAATCTAGTCTGAGGTTAAGAAGAATTAGTTATGACTTCAAGTATGTTGTTTCAGTAAGGATGATGCAGCCTCTACTAGGCCAGTTCTGCACACCGTTTCTTGAGCAGTTTTCTGAGGATTCTAATGTACTCTGAATAGTTTGGACTATTGTTGAGCCTAAATTTTATTTTCCTGCAGCAGCCAAATTCTTGTGAATAGAACATGTCATGGTTGTTTTAAATCCAGATTTGAACTGGGTAACCTCTGCTGTTATATGTTTTATTCAGTTACAATAGTTTCTGCTCTCTTCAATATGCCAATTTGATGGGCCGGATAATTATAAAGTTTAGTTCCGAAGCAAGAACTCGTACACGAGTACACAGAGACGGGTGGTGGAGCGAGGAATGTAAATATTAAAAGATATTTTATTTTTAATATTCAAATCCAATATAGTACCTATGGGTACATAAGAAATGTATTGAATCGATTCTTTTTAATGAATAGATCCGATCGCAACTTCGTATATGGAATTCAAAGGGATCAAATAGGAAAGGATACTCTGAATCATAGAACTATAATGAAATATACGATCAACCAATATTTATCGAATTTGAAAAAGAGTCAAAAGAAATGGTTCGAGCCTCTTATTTTGATTTCTCGAACCGAGAGATCCATGAATCGGGATCCTGATGCATATAGATGCAAATGGTCCAATGGGAGCAAGAATTTCGCGTACTCCTCTTATTTTGATTTCTCGAACCGAGAGATCCATGAATCGGGATCCTGATGCATATAGATGCAAATGGTCCAATGGGAGCAAGAATTTCGCGTACTCCTCTTATTTTGATTTCTCGAACCGAGAGATCCATGAATCGGGATCCTGATGCATATAGATGCAAATGGTCCAATGGGAGCAAGAATTTCGCGTACTCCTCTTATTTTGATTTCTCGAACCGAGAGATCCATGAATCGGGATCCTGATGCATATAGATGCAAATGGTCCAATGGGAGCAAGAATTTCGCGTACTCCTCTTATTTTGATTTCTCGAACCGAGAGATCCATGAATCGGGATCCTGATGCATATAGATGCAAATGGTCCAATGGGAGCAAGAATTTCGCGTACTCCTCTTATTTTGATTTCTCGAACCGAGAGATCCATGAATCGGGATCCTGATGCATATAGATGCAAATGGTCCAATGGGAGCAAGAATTTCGCGTACTCCTCCTGTTCGAATTGGGGTTTGAAACCAAACTCCTCCTCAGGAGGATAGATGGGGCGATTCGGGTGAGATCCAATGTAGATCCAACTTTCGATTCACTCGTGGGATCCGGGCGGTCCGGAGGGGACCACCACGGCTCCTCTCTTCTCGAGAATCCATACATCCCTTATCAGTGTATGGACAACTAGATACTATGTTTACATATGGATTCCTACATCATTACATTCCATTTAGGATTAGGAATACGCGTAATCGGACCTGCTTTTTACATATCTCTATTGTGACTCTATTCACCTCTTTGAGTGAATCGAGAAATAGGTTTGATTGTCCATCTTTTTGATATATATCAGGCATTGCATTCTTCGGATAATTCAAATCGAAGCAATTGGATGTCCAACTCAGGCTTATATGACATGACCGATCTATTGGAGTAATAGAAGTGATGTGCAAAGAATTGTTAAGTGATAACACTTGTTATATAGTTATTCATTTTATGATTCATGATGGATGTTCTTTTAGTTATATGGTCTTTTTAACAAGAGATAGCTAATACAATACACGAGATTTTTGTAGCAATTTTTTTTGTGTGGAAATTTTACCTCCTATAACAAAGTTTTACCCCCAATTTATTATAAATAAAAACCCTTTTAAAATATTATTTTCTATAGTTACCTTTTATTTTTTTATAGCAAAGTATGTATTTATGGCCACTTCCTACCATTAAGCCATTAAATATGCTGTCTAATATTTTTCTCTCTCATTCTTTCAGTTTATTTCTCTCTAGACGATCTCTCTCTCACAGAGCCATTGCCTTCCCCATTGTTGAACAATGATTCTCCTTTATCTGCAGGTTCTCTCTTTAGATTGTTCTCAAACCCTAAAGTAGATTTGTTGGATTTCATCTCTGTTAAAAGGAGTTTCAAAATGTCTTGATCACAGTTTTTGATATGAGTTGTATCTTTTCCCAAAGTGGAGCGGACATGGTCCGTTCATAGCTGAATTGATTTTGAATGTTGACATGGAAGAGGAAAGGACAGAGGAGAGGGTGGCAGCGGATAATGGGATTAAGATTAGGTTTGGGATTTTTAGTTTGTACAATAGTTTTCTCTTCTTGTATTTAGATGTATTTATATGTATTTGATAAGGCATACAGAGGAGAGTGTGGCAACGACTAATGAGATTAGGATTAGGTTTGGGATTTTTAGTTTGTGTAGTGGGTTTCTCTTCTTGTATTTAGATGAATTTATATGTATTCTATAAGACACATATTTATATAGTGGTTTTCTCTTCTTGTATTTATATGTATTCGATAAGGCATAAACTGATTTTTATTTTGTACAGTGATTTTTGACTGTTGTATTTAGATGTATTTATATGTATTTGAGTTCATACAATAACATTTTTAAATACATTGTTAGTTCTATCATTTTGATGTTATTCATCAATTAGCTATACATTCAATCTAACTGTATTCATCTGTATTTTCAACCTAACTGTATCCATCTGTATTTAAAACAATAATATAATGAAATACAGTAAAATACTCTCAATACAAATAGAAAAACAATGAATACAACCAATGTAATATACTCAGTATACCATGTATTAGGAAAAAATAAAATATTGTGAATACAAAAATAAATTTGAATACATCGAACAATGAGAGAAAAAAAACTCGAACTGTATCAGAAAAAAGAGGGACTGAAACTCTAAAGAATGCTTTATTTTTTGGTGTTTAGCGTATGATACATCTTCTCATTAATTGGATTGATAATGTTGTGTGTTAGAATTGATTTAGGTGAGTTATATTAGGAATGTATCCCGTTAAATTAGCAGCTTTCCGTTATTAAACAACTGAAGAGACCTATTATTACGTTGTACTCATGAATACATGGTATAAATACATGTGAATACAGCGGCTGATAGCTGGACTGCCCTGATTTTAAGCCGAAATTTCCTACTGTATTCATGCATACAGCAGCTCGAATACATCGAATACATTATTATAGCAACTGAAAGGTAGCTACAGAAAGTAATTATGTATACGGTAGCTATATGAAGTTAAAAGCCACTAAACAATAGTCATTTATGAAAATTCCTCTTTTTTTTGGCACTTCCCATTTCCCATGATGCTACTTTGTTTTACAAGTTTTTCCATATACTTTTTCTTTCTGGCTTTATACTTCTTTTTGTTTGTGTATAAGGTAAAATCAGTTCATATTAAATGCTCGTATAATAGAGTGACTCGTAAAATCAGAGACTGGTGGAAAGCGAGACAGGTGGAAGTCAAGATCGGTAGTAGTAGTATCAGATGGCACCGAGAAGCCCTCGAAGGGAATGTTGCTCACGAAGACAAATGAATGCCTATCACCCGATATCATTTAATGAGGAATATTCTGCAGTATTAAATACATAGTCCATTATAAAGAATATGACATTCATTGCCTGCAGTTACACATTCTTCAATGCCCTCCATAATTATCATTTAAGAGGGGCTTGATCTTAGGATCTTGTTCTCTAGGTGTCACTATAAATAAGGATTCCAAAACCATTGCAGGGAGACGAATTTTCTGACAAACTTATGCTATATGTAACGACCCAACCGGTTGTTTTGAACAGTAGCGCGTCGGCGATTTGAGGCCATGAGTATCTTCACTTCAGGTATTATGACTGGTACATGTGGCCGGAATTGAATTTTGAGAAGTTCGGAGTTAATTTGGAAAGAAAATTCTCATTTCGGAAGCTTTAAGTTAGAAATTTACTAAGGTGTGATTTTTGAGTAAACGACCTCGGAATCGGGATTTGAAGGTTCCAACAGGTTCATATGATGATTTTGGACTTGGGCGTATGTCCGAATCGGGTTTTGGATGACCCGGGAGCGTTTCGGCACCTATTGTGAAAATTGGCATTTTGGAAGAATTTCATAAATTTGGGTTGAAGTGCATTTCAATGTTATCGATGTCCGTTTGGGATTTCGAGACTGGGAATAGCTCCGTATGGTAATTCTGGTATTGGGAGCACGTCCGGAAGTGGATTCATAGGTTCGTAGCTCATTTTGGAATCATTTGGCGAAAGTTAGAAATTTGAAGGTTTTTGAGAAGTTTGACCGGAAGAGGACTCTATGATATCGGGGTCGGATTCCGATTCCGGAAGTTGGAGTAGGTCGAATGTGACTTGTGTGCAAAATTTGAGGTTAATCGGACGTGATTTGATAGGTTTCGTCAGCGAATGTAGAAGTTTGAAGTTCTAAAGTTCATTAGCCTTGAATTGGGGTGTGATTCATGATTTTAAAGTTGTTTGATGTGATTTGAGGCCTCGAGCAAGTTCGTATCATGTTTTTGGATGGTTGGTGTGATTGGACGGGGTCCCGGGGGCCTCGGGTGTGTTTCGGACATTTTGGGCTACTTTGGATGCTGATTTTATGATATCTGGTGTTGTTCTTCATGTTCGCGAGGATCCCCTCGCGTTCACAGAGAAGGATTTGGCTTTAGGGATTTTGTTCTTCACGTTCGCGAAGAAGGAAATCTTTGTTGCAGAGGTCTGATTTCGGAGGCTCATATCTCGCAATCTATTTGGAATTTAGAGATGATCTAATAAAGAAAGTTGTAGATCTTTGTGTCTAGTTTTCATAAATATAAACCATTTATAATTTGGATTTGTGTACAATAAGTTATGGCTGGTACGTTACAGGCTGTCCGGGAGATGAAGAAGAAATTTGTGTTGCACAAAGCTGACTTTGGAAGCTTATATCTCAAAATCTATAAGGAATTGAGAGATGACCAAAATATGATAGTTGTAGATCTTGGTGTCTATCTTTCAGAAAGTTAAACCATTTATTATTTGGAGTTTTGCACAAAAACGTATGACGATTATACTAGGGGCTGTCTGAGAAAAGTTTGGAAATGGCTTTCGATAATTTTGTTTATCGCGAACGAGATTTGTCACGACCCAAACCTATGAGTTGCAATGGGCACCCAGTACCTTACTTAGTTGAGTACCAAAATAACGTATCTTTCTGAT